AGAGGAGACGTAATTGTCCACTCCCATTCACTCAATCAATTTGTGATTCATTGTGAAATATTATAATTATTTGACAGCCCCGGTTAGACTAATGTCTATATAATACAGTGTCATTTTAACTGCAGCCTAATCCCACTGCAGGACAAGATATATTAAGAATCAAAAGTTTTATAAGTAGAGCCTATAAAGGTGATGACAAAATGACAACAGGATGGCTGTAGGTAATTGGATTAAACCAATAAAGTCAAAGAACATAGAAAACCAAAATGCTTTTTCACCTTAATTTATGTAGGCCTTTACCTTCATGCAATATTGAAAAAAAAGTATAAAAACTACTGGACTATTGTTTTCTCTGGCAACTATCAACTGAACATCATCTACAGTTTCTACTAGAGCATCACATCGCCATAAATGATAAAACAATACTGCCATCCACTTTAATACACCTCAGTAGCAGCGGAGGGAATCAGCACACTTCAACAATTTCACCCACACATACAAACAGCAGTGCTTCCTTCTAGACGCCTCCTTGACATTTTTCTCAATTGCTGTAGTGTTGAAACATTATTACAGGTCAGGGCACAGACCAGACCGAGACCATCCAGCTCATAAATCAGGTGACTGATCGTCATCCATCTCACAGCCAGAAGCTGGACCGTGTATCTCCAGCCTATAGGAGCACACATATCCAGAAAAACCCTAGTTTTCGGGAGGTCTGTATGTGGCCCACTTGTTGAGTCTCGCGCTCTCTTACGTCCCTGAGCAGCGGGTGGGAAAACAACTCTGTGTGGAGCCATTTTATTTCAAATATCATGTGTGTGATCAATCTCCTCCTGCATGGAGCAGCCAGCGCAGTGGAGGCAATCATTCAACATTTGTGGTGGGAATGTGGTATTGACAGAGAGAAGATGGAGTATGGGAATGCACAACCGTGCAACCTCGCCCTTTTGAGTGTGTTTTTCTGTCTGTGTGTGTGTGTGTGTGTGTGTGTGTGTGTGTGTGTGTGAAATAGAGATTTTTTACAGAAGCAGAAAGATCTTCTGTTTTTAACCAAGATGTAATCTCCTCTTAATATAAATATACAATATATATATATATATATATATATATATAAAATACACATATAAGTTAAGATATATATATACTTTATATATATATATATTATACTTATTATCCCTTTTGTGAAATGTATCAACTTTGTTTTCTTTACTTTTTTATCTCATTAAAACACAGAAAAAAATGTTACAGCAGAAGCCACAAAGGTAACTTCTGCTGTATTTTTAAATTTCATTATACTATTGTTTCTTAGGTATTGAGCAAATAGCTCCATTGATTTATTTTCTTTTATTATTCTAATGCTGTAAATACTCTCTCAAAAGCTTATGCGTACGAAATAAGGTAAATACTTATGGCTGTTACTGATCACTGGAGCCAAATGAAACACAGTATTGTTACAGTGTATTAGCAGCTTGTTCACAGGGCACTTGCATGTAGCATGTTAATTTTTTTTAGATTTTTTTAGGTCGTCTTCAAGCTAAGCCTTCTAACACCCTAGACCTCACTTCGCGTTTGGGCTAGCAACAGATCGGATTCTTAGGGGTTCCCACCTGAGTCTGTAGATACGCTGGTTAATATTTCATATGAAGGACGTCCTGATCAGTGTCAACAATGAGGCTAGAGTAGAAAACATGCTTGGTTTCTGTTTAGCCTCTTAACACGACTGAGGGGATTAACTTTGAATTGTTCTTCGTACAGGTATCCTGGGTACTACAGCTTTAGGTTCTTGCTGACAGCTTCCTGCCATATTTTAAAACCTTTTTTAATATCAATTCAAGCAAAGTCAAGTGGCTGCCGTAATTTAATTTGTGCTGTGCACTGACGTCCCCTGTTAGGATCTACTGTCTGGTGCTATTAAGCAGGGCCCTGGTTATTATTGTCCAAACTGCGATTAGCTCTATTACCATGGTCGGGAGGGAGATTTTGTTTTTAAACTGATGTATTAGGGCTGACTTCAGCCTTTTCCCTGGGTTGTGCAAGGCACCTAGTGTGAAAAGCATAAATTCTACCTGGATGTCCTTGGTTCCTGAGGGGGTGGGGGTGGGGAGGTTAAAAAAATATGTTGAGGTGCCACTGTAGCAACGGCAGATAAATACACGGAGAAGAGACGAATGATGAGCGGCTGCTCCCTAATGGGAACCAAGGTCGTGTTGTGGTGTCGGCTTTTATTTACAGCCACTCTTCATCAGAGCGACACGCTGAGCCTGCAGACACTCCTTAATAGGAACTAGAAGCAGAGAAGGAAATTTTGCAATCCAAATGGGAATGCAGGCCGTAGAGGCCCAATTTTTCTGCATTTGCTTGACTCACAGAATGCAGCACCCACAGTGACAGTGTTATGGGTAATATCTCGCCAAAGTTACCTGGAGCCTGTGGTATGGCCTGTGGCCTTAATTTCCCAAAGGGAACTCCCGAATGATTATTAAAGTTCTGTTTGTCAGTCTTTCTATAGGTATGCATCATATGCCTCGGTCACTTCATCAGTGTCTGACAAAGAATTGGGACAAATGAGTGAACAGCACAGAGGAGGAGAGAGGCTAAACTTTCTTAATCAATGTCAGAGATGAGAACATAAATCTGCAGCTGTCATGTGTGTTTACTGGGGAGACATGTTAACAATGCTGTTTTAAAGGGGCCACTGTCAGTGAAAGTGGATGGAACGTTTCCTGCATTGCAGCTGCTGAAGCTTCAAATAATGAGACCACAGGCTGAGAAAGGAGAAGCTAAAGCAGTCGCTACTGTTCTAAACACATACATCTAATAGATTTGTTCCTGCAGAGTCTACTGGTGAGTGCTTTACTATGAAGCTGTCTCCGGTTTCAGCTCATTAAATGTGATAATAAACAGGGAGTTTGCAGTAGTTTTCTTACTGATTTGTTGGTTTGGGAAAGGTTGACGCTTTGTCTCTTTCTTGACAAAGAGCAGACTGTAAAGTCGGCACTGTTTCCCACAGAGGCCATTCACCAAAATGTGTCTGGTTTAAAAACTAAATAAATAAGAGCTGAAGAATTGTTAATGGATTTGGTGGAGATCAAGCCTGCATCCCACTCCAGAAATGTCGGGACAGAGACCATGGAAGACTTGAGACAGTTTTGTCCAATTAAACAAAGCAAGAGTCTCTTTGTTCACAACATTGAAACATTTTAATTTAAAATCATTAAATGCCATAAACATTTAGGCTAATTTGATACTACATAAAACTGCTTTGACGAAGCAGAGTGCAGTTATTACGATCGGTATCAAGTTGAAACGACTCCTGCAATCAACTGACTGATGATAATGCACATCTGTCCCTCAGAGCATCCAAATATAGAATTTGACTTCAGCGTCTAACCTGATATGCTGCATTAGGCAGAAACGTGTGTAATTATTCTGTTCAGCCAAGCATTCAGTCCATATCAGCATTATAACAAAGAGAAACCACAAAAAATGGAAATGCTCTACACGTGCGTGCTGAGGATTATGCAGCATACGTTCCACCACAGGTATGAATGCATACAAGGCATTACTGAAGGAAAGCGGGGGGGTGTTTTTAAGTGAAATCATCTGCTAATAATGGGAGGTCAAACGCTGCTCAGTGCGTCTGGGCTGGAGTGTGTGTTTATTTGTGTGTTTGTGTCAGTCAGTGAAATGAGAGGCATGTTGGGTAACTGATTCATTGTCCCCGAGGGAGTCAATCAAGTCATTTAATTTCCTATAATGTGTTGACACTTAATGACTTGCAGTTTGTCCAAATAGAGAAGCAAAAATGTCATTTGTTTTAATTACATCTCCATATTTTACCCACTACACTGGAGACAAATTGCGACAGAAGCATTTTGTACACGGCGTGTCAATACCGTCTTTGTCTCTGAGAAAACACTGCCCTGCTTTCATACCAAGACACTCACCTTCCAACCTCCTGCCCATTTCTTCTGTTCTATAAAAAATGAAAGCCAGGCAATTTCAAAGAGCCTCTCGTTCCCCAGGCTCTCCTTCTTCCCTCCCCCCAAACAATAGAGCACTAGCTCGCAAACAGCATGGCTTCTAATAAAGCTGTAGAATCTAAAAGAGAAGCAACAAAGGACGAGCGCCTGGCTCCAACGCGCTGTTCATTTATCAGTGGGCATGTTTAAAATCCTTGCTCCGGGCAACGGCCCTCTGTGAGGCATTGGAGAACGAGGCCTGCAGGGACGAGTACTTGAAACGCAGAAAAAGCTTTTAAAGGGTGTCGTGTCGTTGCTTGTCCTTGGTTTAACGCATAGGTTAAAAAAAACATATGTAGACAGACTCTGGACAGTATGTGGAAATTTGAAGTTCGCTAATTAAAATGTAACACAATGGGGGTCTGCTGCCTATGATTTGGACCATCACAACTTTCCATCGTGCAAATATCAACTCCTGGGAACTTTGGACAAATAATCATACAATAACATGGGCATTTTACCTGTTGTACTGCAAAAACAACCAATGGATGGATGGATAATTGATTGGATGGACGGACAGATAGATAGATAGATAAATACTAGGGGAGCCACTGCTCAATTCCCCAGAATGCAAATTAATTGATGCAAATACAAAACCCCTGTACATAACACTTCCCCAATCACCTTTGACAACTTCAAAGATAACAGGTTAGAGAAGAGGTTAAATACGGTAGCTGTGCAGCAGGAGCCAAGAACAAGCCAGTCAGTGTTGCTATCATTTTAAACAAAGTCAGCAAAATTGTACAGCGTCATTGATCAGCAGAGATCAACGACGACATGTTCCATCATCACTCACTGGACCTCAAATTGAATTTCTGAGTGTTTGCGGACTCATAAATCAAGCTGTTATGATGCAGGACAGCTCTGTTTTTCATCCCTAATAGGTCATCCGATTTCTGAGCTGCTGACTTTGAACGATTCGATATCACAGAAAGCAAAAATAAACAAATACATTTTGGTTTGGTTAAAAACACTCACCTGAGCCTCTTTTGGACACCACTTTCAGACAAGGGACCATGACAGCATTGAGCAGGACGAGGAGAGGAATGGGAGCTTTCATTTTTCCCCCAGTCCTAAAAGAGAAACAAACAAATGAAAGAAAATCAATTTTATCATAGTTCATAAATGTTTCCCTGGGAGAAAAAAACATCTTTTCTTCTTTCACACACTGGTGTCTCTTGAGTGACTTATTATAATCAGGCAATACATCATGCAAATGTCAATGTATTTTTGCATTTGTGCAAATCAGACCTTGCTGCAAATAACACAACCTGCTCAACAAAACAACAATCAGGATTTGTTTCTCTGCCAATTTGCATGAATGTGCACCTTCCAGACTATTACTGACAATCTGTCTGTTGACTCCCTCATTAAAAATAACAATGTTTGTTCAGACGTCAGCAGCAGTTTGCAATATTCCTCATCCATTTGCCCATTTATCTCCTTTATTTACACGCTTGATTTCCATTTCTTCTCCCGGGGGGAGTCAAGAGACCCAAACATGCCATTTTTGCTTTGGCTTTGAAAAACAGCTAATGTTGGGCCACAAGGACACTTTCACTGGCATGTCAGTCAGCACAAAGATGCTTCACATAGATTCCTCAATGCCGCATTAGAGTAGGGCTTGAAGGGAAACCCTGAAAAGCCACAATAGGCCTTAAGACATTAACAGAGGCATGAAAATCTGGCCCTCACCCAAAGACGGAAATGCTGCCATGTTTTACTGCAATGAAAGGCCTATTGTCATGAAGGACTTGCTTTCTGAAAATGATGCAGCATCAGAAAAGATTCACGCAGTGACAAAATATCTTATCTTTTTAATTAGTTTTTCATGTTGGGCACAAGTCTGCAACATAAGCACAAAGAAGTGTTGCTGCTTTGGTGTGAGCTCACAGAGGGAGAAACCACTGAATCGCCACTTCTGCTCAGCCTCCCTGAAGCTGATGGTCATATCTGGGTTTTTCCTGAAGACTAAAGACTTCGGCAGCCTGAAATATATGAAGCTCTGCTTTGCGCACACATACAAAAAGATTTAATTATGGCATTGATACAGCCTCAGCATGACACCCAGTTCAAACTGGGTCTGATAGGATTCATGATATTTTTCAAGACTTTTTCAAGGATGCAGTCTGCGATGTCGTAGGTTGAACACTATTGATGCCGCACTGGGGAAATGAATGGGAATATTATATATATATATTAATTTTTAATTACAATTAACAATTGACATTCTCATGTCATAAACAAAGCAACGGACCAAGGCCACGTTTCACATTCAGATATACAAAATGGATTCTGCCCTTCACAATGACATACAAGACATCCTCATCCAACGTGGGAGTTCCATTCCTACGGCACGATACATAAGTACTTATGTCTCTCACCTACACTAACACAGTGGTAACATCATAACCTAGGACATGAAAACATCAGACGAGTCTGAATTAGGCTTTGGAACCATAATGAATGGCAAAACAAGTGAAAAAGCAAGTGAACACTGCAGGATCTAATGTTGTGCGTACAACCGTTTTTTGTGTGTATAGCTGCGTCATGACGTGTTCATTTGTTATGAGTTTTAATGGCGTATGTCAGAATGATGAAATTAGACTTTTCTAATCAACTTATAGGAGATGGCAACGTAACCACGTAACACGGTAGGTCGAGGACGTCGTAAACCGAGGACTCACTCTATGTTTGCTTGTCTGTACATATTTTACATGTCTATGTAAATGTTAAATGTTGGTTTGTCCCAGCATTCCCTCAATACATAACAGCTCTTCCACAGCAAAACTAAGCTGAAGATCCTGCCACAAATTGGTTCTTTCTGTTCTTCCAAAATAGAATTAGGTGTAGACCTGTCACCATGTACAACTGATGACATTTTAAAACGATTCAACAAGTCAGGAGCTGCACTAAGGTCAGAGACGGAGCCCGTGTGCTCCTGGAGTCTGTTAACTATTAGTTAAATGAAAGGAAGAAGAACAGAGCGGCAAATCTGCCATTGTTTAATTCACTGCTTTAGAAGTTAGTAATTAAATAAAGCTTCAAACATGATTAACCTTCAGATGTGTGAGGAATCATTACAGCTTTATAACGCACCCTTTTTGAATCTGACTTTCTTTCCTCATCTCCCTCTCTGTGTTTTTTTCTATACTGACTGTGTTTTTTCCCCAGGAATCATTCTAATTTATCTTTTTTTTTTTTCGATCTGATGCTGAAGAACCAAGATTCTGAGTGGTTTATCAAGGCTACACATTCAATTTCTCTCCGGTTAT